TTGTCAAAATAAAACCCACTAATGGGGGTGCACAAAACAAACCAGGTCTCTCAAGCTACAACAGCCTTGTATTTTTAGAAAAACATTTGGTGTGGGGAGGAAAATAAGTGAAATTCCTCCTAGGATTAAAGTGAGCCAACCCGTGTGAAATGCACTGTCAGGTAGTGATTCTGGGTCCCTTTGTTCCAGTTCTAAAATCAAGGCACTTTTCAGTGATGATAGATCCTTGGGAGGAAAAGGCAAGTCCCTAAGAGTTGCGAAAAGTTCAGGGCTCAACTAGGAGTCAAAAAGTTGCCGGCTTACACCCCAGCAGCACGATGGGAGACATGCCTGCCAATCTACTCAGAAAGGTCCCAGGCTGGCAACCCTCTGTGGCAGTGCAACTCTGCACCGCAAACGCGCTTGCCATGAGTCAGAGTGGACTGGATGCCAACCGACGACAGCAGGGAGGGAAGCATTTCTCCCTGCTTTAAACGGCAGCATGTTGAGTCTTCTGAACTGAAGGTCTCTTATGCTCACGGTCGGCGTCACCATACCTCTTGTATTTAGCAGTGTTTAGAAACTGGCACATGGTAAATACCCAAGAAATACCCACCAAATGAGTGAGGTGATTCAGCCAGGCTGCACAATCCATTCCAGAAGAGAGCAATATTATCTCTGTATGGTGGCTTCTATAAAGTTAGCTACACATTGCAGCTTACAAACAACCCTGGCAAGTACAGTGGCTAAGTGCTTGGTTGCTCACGAGAGGCTGAGGGTTGAATCCACCAGCTGCTCTTTGGAAGGAAGAAGTGGCAGTCACCTTTTGTAAACAGGTACCAGCTTGGCACCCCTCTGGGGCAGCCTCGCTCTGTGCCACAGTCACTGTGAATCCGAATCAACGTGACGACAGTGAGTTTGGCGTCCTGGTCCTTCAGCTGCCCTCTCCGGGGGAGGTGTTTGCATTGTTTCATCTTTTCTTTCTCATTGTTTGCCCCATTTTCTTTCACTGAATGTGGCCAGCAGCTTTGGCTTTGGCCCAGAGACTTGACGTCCCAGGAACATAGAGCATTTTTTGTTGTTGTTTTAGTGTAGTGCTTCATAAACCCCCCCACGGCGTTCCCACTCTCTTTGTTCTCTCACACAGGATCGAGACTCTCAACGGCACAATGATCCTCCGAAGAATGGAACTGGACGCAAAGCTGCAGGGTTTAAAGGTAATTTAATTCAATACCGGGATGCACATTTTTCCTCCTTGAGTGTGTGAGGGGTAGCATGAAGATCTATTTGAGGAATTGGGAAGACCCTTGAAGATAAAGTGTCGTGATGAATCTGCACGGCTGAATTATCGAGTCTCACAATTACCTCCTTAGGAATATCAAATTCTGCACATCTGTGCAAATCGCTTCCTTCCTTCCTCCCTAGCTATAGCTATGGCTCGGAGTGCGCACAGGGAGGACCAGGCTTGAGAATTCTTGTTAGTGAACGCGTGCTCCTCCTTGTTTTATGGGTTTGTCACGGCGGTCAAAAAGAGGAAAGCCAATCCTTTGCTTGCTCAAGGACTCCATGCTAGTGCTGATGCTTTGCCCCATGTGCGAGTTTTACCCACTCCGTCTCCAGTTAGTCAACGGATTTGTTTCTCTTGCAGCACTGGCTAAGACTGTCAGTGTATTACTGTAAACAAGTTAGGGTCCTTGTCTTTTCCTTGACATTAAAAGAAATACTTCTAATATGTTATCATTAAATTTCAATAAGGACTGAACAGTGCTTCATAATTTATGTGTTTATAGCCGTCAAAGGTCAATATGCCTCATAAGAGGGAGACATTAAGTCTTGGTGATGACCTTAATAAAACATCAAACAGGATTTCCAGCCTTTTGTAGAAAAGGGAAAGAATGCAGACAATAAACTGATGATATTGTTTAAAACATAGGTGAAAAAATAGGCCTGTATTTCATTGAATGAAGTGTTGTCTTTCTTTTTAAAAAAATCATTTTATTGGGGGCTCTTACAGCTCTTATCACAATCCATACATCCATCCATTGTGTCAAGCACATTTGTACATTTGTTGCCATCATCTTTTTCAAAGCATTTTCTTTCTTCTTGAGCCCTTGATATCAGTTCCTCATTTTTCTCCTCCTTCCCCCACCCTCCCTTCCTCATGAACCCGTTTTTTAATTTATAAATTATAACCTCCCCTCCGCCCCCCCGCATGTCTTACACCAACCATTATCTCCCTTCACCCGCTTTTCTGTTCTCCACCTGCTGGGAGGGGGTTATATGTAGATCATTGTGATCTGTTCCCCGCCCCCCTTCCCCTTCCCCTCCTGGTATCTCTATTTTCATCATTGGTCCTGAAGGGATCATCTGTCCTGGATTCCCTGTGTTTCTAGCTCTTATATGTACCTGTGTACATGCTCTGGTCTAGCCCGATTTGGGCTAGAAGTGGGGTCATGATAGTGGGGGGAAGGAAGCATTAAAGAACTAGAGGAAAGTTATATGGTGTATGTTTCATGGGTGCTACCCTGCACCCTGACTGGCTTGTCTCTTCCTCGTGACCCTTCTGTAAGGGATGTCCAATAAATACAGTTCGTGCATCTAAGCCATTTCTGCTTTTCTTGTCATTTTTTTCTAACAATTAAAAAATTTTCACTATCCTGGACTTTAATGTGCTATAATTGTGAATTTAATATTCTATTGCTAAGTAATTGCCTACTTTAGAGAGTTTTGCTAATTTTTAAAATGAAAAAATATTAGATGTTTAGTATAAAAAGCTGTCACGGACCACCATATCAACTACTTGAATTGTCGTGCTTGTTGCTTTTGCTTCTTGTCTCCTGCCTTGTCTTTGCTTCTTGCTAAAAGGACCTACTTCAGTGAATGATGTGGCTCTTCCTTTGTCTACAAAGTATGTCTTTATTCCACCCTCCCTCTAGAATAAGTCTGACTAGGTAATTAAATTATTGCAATTCGACATTTTGTTCCATGACTCCCTGAGTATGTTACTTCTTTGATATTTTCATTGGTGAGAAAACTCCCTGATAGCTTATTCTTTGCATGTACTCTAGTTTCCAAAATTTCTTCCAGAAGTTTTAAAGTTTTTCTGTTTTCATATTGAAGTTCTTAATTCAACTGAAATTAATATTTGTATACAGTGAAGTAGGGTTCCAATTTCAGTTTTTCCCCATATGGACATCCAGTTGTCCCAGCACCATTTATATATGATAATCCTTCTTCCCCCTTCTGCAGTGAAAACTATTTTTAACCAATTCAACAGAAGTGTGGGTTTGATTACTGCCTCTCAATTCTTTCTTGGTCAAATATCTCAAACTGGGGTATTTCTAATAAATCTTGATGTTTAATTGGGCAAGCCTTCCAGGTTATTCAGTCTTTTGGCCTTTTACATACATTTTAGAATCAGATTGTCACCTTTCACAAAGATATGCAGTTTTGATTGATGTCACAAAATTCCTGTCTACTATTTGTCTGGAAGGTACCCTTGTTAAGCACTGAACTGAGATCCCTAAGGTCAGCAGTTCAAAACCACCAGGTGCTTGATTGGAGAGAGAAGGGGCTTTCTACTCCCCAAAAGAGTTGCAGTCTTGGAAATTCACAGGAGGCAGTTCTACTCTGTCCTATAGGGTCACGGTAAGTGGATGGCAGTGAGTTTAGTATTTTAAGTTTATTTGACTGGAAGTCATGGTGGTAGGTTCAGTCCCAGGCTTGTGGGGTAGCTAAGGGCTGTGATCTAGGGGGTGTCACCAGTCTACCAATACGCCTGGTTATTTATAAGGTTTTTCATTTTATTCCACACATTTCTCCTAAATATCTAGGACCTTCTATGGTGATACCTACTAGTTTATAGTGTTAACAGGGCACCATGTAGTTCTTCTGGTCTCACTCAGGGTCTTGGAGGCAAAGGATCACATAGTGTGTATATTACATTTTATTAAATATCCTTTTCTACATCTGTTACAATGTCCTTCTAGTTTTTTGTTAAAAATCAGTGGAGCAAATGACATTTGAACATTTCTAACATAAAACCACTCTTGTATCTCTAGGATAACCACCTCCAAACAAAACCCAACAAACGCATTGCTCTTCAGTTGATCCCAACGTCCCATGGCAACTCCTGTTTTGCATAGTAGACCAGCTCCATAGGGTTTACTGTAATCTTTAGAGACAGCTGAAAGCCCTCCCTCCCATGGTAGGTAGTTCTAGGTTAGTTGTTTTTGTGTACCACTGATTTGATTCTGCAACCCTATTTGACAGAATGGAACTGCCCCTTAGGGTTTCCTAGACTGTACTTTCTACAGAGGCAGACAGGCATGTCTTTTCCAATGGATCCGTTGATGGGTTTGAACATTTGACCTTTGAATAAGCAGCCAAGTGCTTAACCATTGTGCCACCAGGGCTCCTTTCTGTATTAGTAGTTGAGTGCAATCCGTTAGTGTCACCTAAGGACTTTTAGAATAAACTCAGCCTGGTCTTAAGAGATAACAACTTTTTAGATACTCATAAATTTAACTGGTTAAAATTTTCCTTACTGCTTTTAAAGGTGGTTTCTTGTGTTACTACCTTCTTTTCTTAGGCTATCTTTCTCTAATTTTAGTACCAAGTGTACTGGACTCTAAGCATGAGCCGGGAGACATCTTTCTCTTTCTATTCTCGGGTAGAACTCTTGTAATACAATCTGAATCATCAGGGCTTGGTGGTTCTTTTTTGGTGGGAAGACATTTAAACTACTTCTAAACTACTTAAGTTTCTTTCTTAGTTATAAGATTGCATACACTTTCTGTTCTTGTTTTAGTGAACTATATTTTGTTCATAAAGTTACAATCTATTGCCATCACATTGTTGATAAACATTTTTATCTTTGATTATAAATTATGTTACATGTCCATTTTTAACTAATTTGTATGTGTCCTCATTCTCTGAAACACAGTGGTGGGTTCACACCGCCCACCTTGATGCTAGCAGCCCAATGCCTAACCAAGAATGCCACCAGGGCTCTTCAGGTTAGCAGTCACTTGCAAATCACAGTAATTGGTGACCTTTGTTCTTGCAACAGAATTTAAAAATCATCCGTATATGTGCATATGCATTATTTCCTAGTTCTCTTTTTTGTCTACTCATTCTTATTCAATTTCTTTGATTCATACTCATTATTCTTTTGAACATTGGCCTGTGATTTGTATGAGGGACTTCAAAAAGTTCATAGAACAATTC